TTCTTACATTTGGAGAGTTTCTAAAGGAAAAGTTTGATAGCTTGAGTGAAGGATTGGAGAAGAATATGGTGGATTTGTACACACATCTGCCTAAGTCTTTTATCTCATCTGATGAAGTGAAGAAAATGATCGTAGCCTGTCAAGCTCTTCATCGTGTAAGATGTTTCTTGAAGCATAATTCTTACATACCTTTTGAGAATGGAAGCGACGTATTCGATAGCTTCTACAAAGCCATCATTGTTGATTGCCTTGAGCCTCTACGTTTGCTTCCAGAACGTTTTGGGATTCCAGCCATGTTAGAAAGCGAGGATAGAATGAGGTTTTGCTTGCAAAATGCGCACATAATCTTCTGTACTGCCTCGGGTGCTGCAGAAATGACCGCGGAACGGACAGGATTCATAAAGTTGCTTGTAGTTGACGAGGCGGCTCAACTTAAGGAATGTGAAACAGCTGCTGCATTGCAACTTCATGGCTTGCACCATGCTGTTCTAATAGGAGATGAGCTTCAACTACCAGCAATGGTGCAAAGCGAGGTACTTACATAGACCTCAATTCTTTGTTTGCATTCGCATTCGTGTCTTAATATGTTTATAGTTGAAAATTGGAAAAATGAATGTGTAGGTATGTGAGAAGGCTAAGTTTGGTAGAAGCTTGTTTGAGAGACTGGTTTTGCTTGGTCACAACAAACATTTGCTTAATGTGCAATACCGTATGCATCCATCTATAAGTCGTTTCCCAAACATGGAGTTTTACGATGGCAAAATCTCGGATGCTCCGAATGTTAAAGAAAGCATCTATCAAAAGAGGTTTCTTCAAGGAAACATGTTTGGTTCTTTCTCGTTTATCAATGTGGGACTTGGGAAAGAGGAGTTTAGTGATGGTCATAGTCCCAAGAATATGGTTGAAGTTGCTGTGGTTTCCGAGATCATATCCAATCTTTTCAAAGGTATAACATCATATCTATCTCAAGTATATATATTGCTAGTTCAGATTTTTCTTTAAAACTATCTCGGGCCGAAAGACTAATCTCCAAAACCTATAGAAAACCGCAAATTATTCATATAAAGTGTCTACAACGCGGTGAAAAATGGACCAATATGGTTTTCGTAGATGATGGAACTCGATCTTG